TTCTATTTTCTCTCATATGGCTCTTTCTGATGGATCTAGAATTACTCCAACTCACTTTTTGCGTTTTACCGATTAGCTTTGAGAGAGGTAATTTTACAATAATATGGCCTTAAAGCACACGATTAAGCATTAACAAAAACATGGCCAATTACACTTCAAAAATACCTTTCAGGCACAACATTTTTGGTGAAGAAGGATCAGAACTTAATACGGTGTTCACAGCTTCGTGTCCCATTCGACAACCAAGAAGTCTATCGAGAAAGCTTGGAGAACCTCCTCTTTGAAGGTAACCCAATGAAGCGACTCTCACGTCGTACTGAAGGCATTGTATCGGAACCATTCACAGCGATAAGCGATAAATTGTAAAAATGTTATGGAAATCGCTAGCAAACCTTCAATTTGTCTTCTATAACCTTTTTGATCTGCTCTGTTTTGATTAGATTCCCTTTCGCATCGACAGACCCTTCGGCGACAACAACGAGATTTAGACGGCTACCGGCCTAAATGACAAATTAACAACTAATTAGTATTTTTTCAAGGTCAGAGGACCTGCAAAGGTAAGAAAAGCCGGTATGCACGGCTCATGAGTTGACTCTCCAGGGTATTCTCGGCTGGTTCGCTTGATTCTGGACATATCTCAGCAAAGGGAACACCGCCTCGAACAGAAAACCACACTTATGCCCATGAGTCACCATATGAGTCAAGTACACATTCAAATGCCCTTCTGACCTAGAATAGAAGCGAGAATGCTGCGCCTTCTAGACCTTCCTATTTCTATTCCTCTGAAAGTGAAATGCGAATTTCCGGATGTTGTCCTCGATTGCAGAAATACTTGCAATAGGAAATCCGGAGGTAAGCAAACCAGCCCTTTTGGCGTTTCGGCTGGGACCGTATGCTGAATGTTGGGGAGGGGATGGGGTCCCCAACGGTCGACGGTTTACTTCAACTCGGTTGGTACGATAGGAGAGTACTGACGCAAGTGGTGCAGCTGGTCCAGCGCTGGTTTGCTCACCCCAGGACTAAGCCTTGGAGAGGGGACGGACCCGTCCTCTCTTTAAGGCTTAGTTTGAGAGGGACGGACCCGTCCTCTCTTTAAGGCTTAGTTCTGAGGTAAGCACCAAATTGTGGCGGTTCTAAGGACCGAGTTGAAGTGGTCCGTCCACCGTCGGGGACTCCATCCCCTCCCCAACATTCAGCATACGGTCCCAGCCGAAGCGCCAAAAGGGCTGGTTTGCTTACGTCTCCGTACGAATTCCAACGCACATTTCACCATCAAAGACACAACCAGGCAAGAGCCGTGTGAACGATTCCCTTCCGTGTGTAAGATAGACCTCTGGAGACAATTCACAAATGCGGCAACCCAGTGAATGAAAATCGGCCTGCAAGGGCGTCAGGGCTTAGCTGCAGCAGCTGCAATGTTCCCCGTCCACAGAAGGCTGTCTGACGCCCTCTCATCTGTTGCGCTCTCTCGTCGCCTCTTCACACGCGCTTAGCCTCTCATTGCCTTAGCACAACGCATTATGAAGACGAGCAAGCCGCAACCCTAAGTGTTTTCGACGGAGTCTTCTCTTTTTTCTTCACTGCCAACCCATTTCGCACCAATAATTTCATATTTGTGGGCAAGAACTACAGCACTTAGATGCTGGGACGTTCCCTTGAGTAAGTGAATCAGAAGCTACAGTGAGTAATGAGTTGAAGTACAGTTATCCATAAGTGCAGCTCTCGCAGCCTCAGAGCGCTACAAAGGAGCTGAGAGTTTGTTTCTCGCGTAGAGGGCTTTATCGGTTGACCGCCGCTGCAAGGGTGTACTGTAGCGGGAACTCGACGTCCTCTCGTTCGATGTACACTCTCAACTATTCTCTCTCCTCGGCGCTAGTGTTTAAATGTTGTAGCACAGTTCGCCTAAAAAAGATAAAAGGATAAGCATTTGCCGTTGATCAATCCCTTTTTGGGATGCGGCACGCATTCTACTTCCATTTGTACATTCGCAGTGGCGTTTGAATGCGATGTGGCCTATACAATGACTTGCGGGGGCCAGCCGATGTACAAGTCAGTGTTTTTATCCTCCCAGACAACCCTGGATACCGATCCCGACCCTCGTGTTGGTAAGGTGCACTCGCCAACTACACATTTCGCCCAGTTCGCCGTATAAATGAAGAAATCCCTCGGTTTAAGCGTTCCTTCTATTCCTTCCAGATCGGTCACTTCTTAACATTAACCTTTACGCAAAATATCGTCACCATGAAATCGTGCGAAGTGCCCACAAAACCTATCCCACGTGAAAATGCTGCTTAGCACTGTGGATATCATTTTATGACATTTTCACTTATTTCGTTATTCAATCCTACCTTTCGTTTTCTGTGGAGGTGACCACACAATACTTCAGGCCAATCGTCAGGAGGAGGAATTTCCGGAATGAAAACGAAGTCTGCTTCCAACGCTATGCCGGCTGTAAGCGCCAAATTCCCACATTCGTGACTCATCACCTGATAACGAAGGTAATTAAATGCCTAGCAATAAAACCAAGGACCAGTCAAAGCGAGGGTTTACGATAAAGTTGTGGGCAGCATGGAATAACATGTGGACCAAAGAAAGCGAGATGTGACTTTCCGCGGTCAAAGGTGTGCCAGACGCAGCGCACTAGGGTCCTAAACCTTTTCCATGCCCCGCCTGCGACTGTGCTCCACCCCAAGAGTGTTTCCACTAGCAGCATCGTTCCTTCTTCATTTTGGAAGACGGTTTCACTTGCGTGGTCGTATTTTATAATATTTCTAAGTACTTTTTATCAGATATCAAAAGCTGGGGGGGGTGTTGAATCAAGCATGGTGTTTGTATACAAGATGGTGATCGTTGTACTGACAAGTGTAAACGCCCCCTCACATTAGTTGGTTGGTGGCTCGCCCACTGGTCGATGAACAAGGGGATCCCACTTTTCACGTTTATAGTGGCGGGTTTTTTACGCTTTTGTGGACCTAAGCCCATTATATAGCACCCCTCATCCACAATATCCTACCGGGTATTGTTGTAAATCCTCGCTTCAACCATGGTGCACCCACTTCAACTATAAATGTCCTGTGATGGCTCATAGCTGTAGCCGTGAGATTGTCCACGCATTCGATGACGCGAGCCATTGCGGAATCAAAACCGATTGTTCGATCGGTACCGATGAAATCGTTGTCGATTGTTCTATAAAACATTGTTCACCAAAAAAGCAAAGCCGCGCGAAACTATTCAAAATAAAATAAGAAGGTCGATCTCGGACATTTTGGCGTGTGCCCTCGACTTTCAAATAGGTTTGTAAAAGAATGTGTCTTTAGTCCATTTGAGCAGGTGTTTCCAGAGGCAGAGAGATTGTTTATTCCCGTAAGCAATACGAAAAACCTGAAGGACTACTACGTGTTTAAATTCCCGCCGTACATCTGTCACAAATGTTGGCGGCGGGAACAATTCCACTTGGTTCTTGAGTGCCTCCACTGCAAACTCTTTTTGGCCTTTTCCACCTGCGGCAATAACATTTCACCTTTCTACTGCATCCTATTCTCGATCATTTTGTCTCCCTCCCAATTCGCACGCTTTAACCCGATTCTTTCATGCGTCGCCTGATACGTGGCCGCCCCAAGGCGCACTTCTTTCCATGCGTTCCCTTGTCTCCGCCCGACCTACCCTTCGACCGTCCATAGAGTGTGGTTTTCGTAAGTTTGTTTCTCTTCGGAAACCTTCTTGCGTGAAACTTTGTATGTTGTCTCTAGTGATCACAACTGACCAATTCATTTTGGGAGAAAATGCAAGAATTTTCCGTGAACGATTCCTGCAAAGATAGTTCATTCTTCTGTATTAACAGCCAAGAATTGATAGATGGTTTGTTTGGCGTAGGTTATACACAATTCACTGGCCGAGATAATGGAAACCCTGGCCCCACCTGTCATGTAGACCTCTCTCCAATGACTTCCTACATTACATTTACGTTCCCCACACGGTAAGGATGAGTTCCAGCTATCTCAGTTCTAACATACGCTTCTCTAGGAAACTGATCAATACCGAATCCTCGCTCATTAGATGTATTAGGTTGTCTCATAAATAGTGTCGCTTTTTTCAACCAGAAAATTTTGATCTAAATCCCCATGCTTTTAC